CCTTGGGGGCCAGCCAGCTTTCTTATCATTCTGGTACAGCATGTTCAGAAAGCAAACTGGGTTTTTTCCTTTGCTCTTTGCAGCAATGGGAGTGCTGTGGCTGAAAACTGCTCCAGGAGCAGGTCCCAGAAGTGCTGATGCCTGGGGAAGCTGAAGGGCTGGAGCCAGATGGCAGAGCAGGAGTGTCCAGCATTCTCTGGTCCCCTCAGCTGTCACAAAGTCAGGAGTGAATGTTTGCATCACAGTGCTGGCTGTGCAGCATGACCACCCAAGTGTGCGTCAATGAATGGCAATGTTTATCTCCTTTTCACTGCTTTCTGCAGTATTTCAGGGAAGTAACATCAGGATGGGCATTGTTCACCAAGCAGCTGACATCCTGCCAGATCACATCCTTCTTTACCCCAGGAAAAATTATTTCTGTATCATTAAAACAAAAATTCATCTTAAATATCATCAAGTTATGGCAGATCATAATTTCTTTTCCTGCAAAAGAGCAGAGTCTTTGAAATATCCACTTCAGAAATTAAAATCAGTGTGTTATCTCTGGAATGTGTCTAAACAAAGACCACATTATTGCCTTCACCTGCCACTGGAGCACCTACAACTCTGTGAGGCAGATTCTCTTTCTTTCTTTCTTTCTTTCTATTTTTTTCTTTCTCTCTCTCTCTCCCCAAAATAAGGTGACAATCAATAATCTGACAAACAAAACTCAGAAATAAACCCACTTCCCTCTCTCTGAGCTGTAACTGGTACAGCAGTGTATGCTGCTCCACCAAATCTTGCCTGCATTACATCACACCAAAATCAGTGATGGGAAAAGGACAAAGAGGCCATGGTAGCTGGAGACAAGTGCCAGGAAAAAAAAAAAAAAAAGAAGTAAAGGGATCAGGAAAGCCAGAATTAAAACATTACAAAATATTACATATATGCAATCAGTGGTGCAAGATGTTGATCACAAGGGGCTGGAGGAAGGTGCTGGACAGCTGATCACCAGCTGATGAGCCATGCAATATTGCTCCTCCTTTTTTACTTTCTGGGGTGAGCCCTGTCCTGCTGTGAACAGAAGAAAGAGGCAGCACATCCATGGCATGGCAGCACACACAAAAAAAACCTGGCAGCATCCACAGGTAGATCCCCACCTGTACTCATTGTGCTGACAGCTACTGACCTGCCTCTAACCCATTATGGAATCAGGCTTAATGTGCTCACCACTACACCTCCTGAAAGAGGGCTTTTAGGGCTTTTAGGGGAATTCAGCCCAACCACTTATCTGTCCTGCAACCACATCTTCAAAAACCCAAATGCCACACTACACCCTATCTACACTTTGTATTGCAAGTGTATCAGAGGGAATTTTTTGAGATATTTAAGGGCCAAACCAGCTTTTTACAATAAAATGAAACTGCAGTTCTCATCAAATCCTAGTAGTAGTGCCATATTTTATCAAATAATTCAATAATCAGCATTGTCACACAGATTTCAGTTCCTGTTTCTCACTAATTGCACTCGTATCATATCCTGTTGCATTACACAGGTTCCTATTTGACTGTGCTGTGAGGAGAAAGAAACACTTTTTTTTAAATTCTAAAGACAATACTAGAACATTATTTTTGGTATGTGATGGGCTCAATTCTAAAGACAATACTAGAAGATTGCTTTTGGCATGTGATGGTCACTGCTTTGCTCTGACACTAAGGTATCCAGGAATACAGTTGTTTTTCTTCAAGAGAAAATATTTTCATATCAGAGCTTGATTTCTAAAATTTGCTAGATTCTTTACTTCATGGCAATGGCTTAGAGCAGGACAGATACATATTTGCTTTCTAATGTAGTGTTAAGAGGTTTTTTTGCTATGTCTGTTCTCAAAATAGCTTTCTATAAGGTCCATTTAGACTTAGAACACAACACCAGTTTTCAAACCCATGCTTAATATGTTTTATCATTTCAAATCATAGCTCATTTGTTTTAATAGGTATGTTGATGTAATGATAATCAAGTTGCAACTATATCTATAAATTTATGGGTAACATTTTTTCTTTTAATCTGCTTCTTAAAAAAATCTTAATGTAATCTTTAATTTGTACAGCAAATCCTGTGCTGCATTTTATCTCCTTAGAGTAAGTATTAGTCTTGAGACTTTATGTAATTGTGTTTGCATTTGAAAAAATGTTTCACCTGTTCAGATATTGCCACGATGGCTCTTAAGGATTTTCTCTGAACATTTCATCAGTTCTCCTCACAGAAGATCACCATGATCACAAACAAAAATTGTAGGGCATTTTATGGACTTCATCTTATCACAGTTTGGGAAGGCTGAGGTTTGAAATTAATTTTGATAGATTCTAAATACCTTTATGTTTAACCAGAGAGCAGCCAATATATGCACCATGGACTTCCTCTTCATTGTCTCTGTGGAGAGTTTGCCAGTCACTGGGATCCAGGTTTAGCTGTGGGGTTTTTTGAATTGCTCAGAGGATTTCCAATGCTCTGTGTGTTATGTGGGATCAGAAATGCCATGCTGAAGAAGTTGTCCTAAAAACTAACAACTTCCTGTTGGAGAAGGAAAACTTCTGCTGGATGGTTTCAGACAATCTGGTCCTTCTCTTCCTCAGCTAAAGGCATCTGCATCTGGCTTGAGGTTGAGTTTATTCAGCTGTGGTCCCTCTCTTGTCACTCTTATAGTCAATGTAGTGAATGTGGGCAAAAGAAAGGAACCCTTCTCCACAAGACATTTCACACCCTAAAACCTGTGAACTCTAAAACCTGTGAACTCTGTTCCCCAAGAGATTTTTTGATGCATTATCTAGTGTCCTGAGCAAATAATTAGAGCAAAGGATATCTGGCAGAAATGAAACTGAGCAAAGGAGCAGAAGGCAATTCAGACAGCAAGAGCACTCTTCTCTTTGGAGTGATTCCACATAGGATAACATGGCCTGAATACAAGAGGCTCAAGAGACATTTTCAGCAATGACATACCGTAGTGGATTTTTTTTTTAACCTGCCCACACACAGTGAGCTGGGAAAAGTATTGCCCATATAGTTATTTCCTTGCTATTCCTAAAACAACAGGAAATCAACTATCTCAACATGCACAACTAATAATGAATTGTGAATACCAGTGCTCCTTTCTAACATGACTAAATATAACACAGTACTTTCCTTCTCTGGGTATAAATAAATGGATTGCCATTGCTGCTACACAGAGCACATTTCTCCCAAAACACGTGTTTTACAGGGCTACAGATTTCCTCTTTAGCATGCAATAATCTTGGGATTTGAGTGTTAAAAGTGTTATTTCTGGCCAATTCCTTGATTGTCTTGTGTGACAACAAAATGTGAGCTAGAGAGAAAACAAAGACTATTGCTTCCTCTTTGTTCATTCACTTCTCACAAATTATTTTCTCAGAATCCTAAGATACTTTAATTGCAATTTTTCCCTCATCACCAGACTGTTCTTAGCAGTCAGCTTTGCTATCTTACTCCACTGTCTCCACTACTTAAGGAAAAAAATTGTGCTTGTGCACTGTCCTCCCCTCACCCTCTATTAAGTGTCCCTCTTCCATTTGCTAATTCTACTAGCTACTCTGTAGGCGGAGAAAAAGTGTTGGAACAGTGTTGCAAAATCATTCATGCCTTGTATCTTCCTTTGTTCTTCACCCCTGCATAAAACCGCACAAGTGGCCAAAGCTACTGTGATTTCCCTCTACTTCTGTCTCAGTTGCAAGTCATACTTTACTTTAGTAAAGCTTTAGTGTCATGCACATTTCCATCAGGAACTATTTCAGTGAAAGACATGAATTGGCTGATGCAAGTATGTTCTGATTCAGGCATAATTCCATAGGAATATTTACCTTCCTTTAAATTTAACACGAATTTAAACCTACCCTCCCAAACTGATCACTGATTTGCAGGTGTCAGTGACACACACAGAGAGGCTGACGTAGTGTCAGCTTTAAGACCCAAAACTGAAATCCCCCTTCTTGCTGCTGGCTGGCAGCGGAAATGGCTTGAGACCTGTCGGTCTTGCACAACAACAGTTTCACGTTCATTGTGCATAACGTCATCGCATCGCCAGGGTGACTAGAACTAAGAAAATATACAATATGAACGTGGCAGACTTTAACCATTGATGCTGTGATAGCTTTGTGCTGTGTGTCACAAATGCTCGCGTTAACAAAGAGGTCCCAGCTGGGCTGAAGGTCCTGACAACAAACGAGGCAAACACAGCCACTGATGTGAGACCAAAAATGAAACTGCAGAGACTGAGAACCGCAGCTTTTAAACACCCGGGTGTTTAAAACCACACACCTACGACAGCTCCAGGTGCGGTTCTGTTCTCTATCAAATCCCATGGAGCTATTTACAAAATATAAATACAGAATAAATATGCTATTTATGCAAACATACACCTAATGTACTTCGAAACCCAACTTTCCCGGTTCCGAGGGAGGATTCTTCGAGACACCGGAGCGCACCGGGTGCGGTCCCTGCCCTCCCTTGGGGCTGGGGACCGATCTCCAGCGCATCGCAGAGCCAAGAGGATGCTGCTGTCTCTGTGATGTGACAAAAGCTGCCCAGCCCTGGCTCGCCAGCAGCGACGGGGGGCATCCTGCCTGACGGGGACATGGATTCGCGGAGAAGAAGGGTTTGCGGGAGCCGGGAATTCCCATCCAGTAGCAGCGAGGATGCTCTTGGAAGGGGTCAGCGGGGATGGGCGAGTGCCTGAGCTCGCCACCAGGACAGGCTGTGCCGGTTCCCTGAGGCTGCCACACCACAGCACGGGCTATGCCGGGTCCCTGAGCTCATCACGCCAGAGGACAGGGCTGTACCGGGTCCCCTGCTCGCACAGCGGGGCCGGCACCAGCGGCTCGCAAGGCGGAAATCCCCGGGGGGGAGGTGTGGGCGGAGGGAAAAGGGAACGGCCATAGACAGGCTGCTAGTGCTCGGCTCAGCTCCCCACGGCTCGGCTCGGCTCGGCTCGGCTCAGCGCAGCTGGTTCAGCTCAGCTGGTTCGGCACGGCTGGTTCGGCCCGGCTCCGGCGCGATGAAGCCGCGAGGGTGAGTGCTGGCCGCGGGGGAAGGAAGGGTCGCTGCTGGCGGCCGCTTCCCGGGCACGGATGAGCATCGCCCTTAGGGAAACGCGAGTTTTGCTGCTGCCGCGGGCAGGGAAAGCGCTGGCGGGGATTGGGCTGCTTAACTGGAGCCAGGGGCGACCCCCGGCCCCGGGGCAGGTACGGAGCAGGTCCCGTCCGCCGGCAGCGCTCCCGGTGCCGGGAGGGGAGAGCCGGGCGCTGCCAGAGCTCCCCGTCTGCCCGGGCAGGGGTCCCCTGTCCGTACGCGGCCATCGAGAGCTGCGGGCAATTAATGGGGCCTTTTATGGATATTTTCGGCTGAAGGGCTGCGATGGGACCTGGCTCACCTGGGTTTTATTGCCCAGGGTAGCGCGCTTTACAGCCGCGGTTAGGAAAGCTTCGCAGGTGACCTGCTTAGGGCACCTGCCGATCGAGAAGAGCCATGTCGCTACAAGGTTAGGGGACAAAGTGGGTCTCAGCAGTGGAGCAAAGCTCCCAAAGTTGTTATGGCAAGCATCAGGGTATCTCTTTGCCTGGCTAGAGTGTACTCCAGCAGCAGCATTCCATGGCTTTGAGATGAGTAGTGATGAAAAGGTTGGGGTGCTGGTAGGAAGAATCATCTCACCAAGCAAGAATGTCTGAAAGGGGAAGTGCAACTTTCTCCTGTTTCACACGGCATTTTTAAAAACCTGCAGAAGAGGAAGGTGTGGGAAAGAATTGAAAAAGTAAAATAATTAATTTTTTTTTTTTTTAATTATGAGAGCAAGAAGGTAGCGCAGCTATGCCAGCACTTAACTAACCTCACTGCTAGTGTGATGGGCACAGGAGCTCAGTCAATGTAGACAGCAAAAGGAAGGTTTCTCTGCAGACAGAGCATTTCTCCCTTTTTCCAGTTGAAACCTGGAATTAAAGCTGCTCCAGGGGAACATCATGGGTTGACACTGCCCCCACAAACCAACTTCCAGCTGCAACTTCCTCCAAGAAGAAGGATGAGGCATCTCTGGATCTGTCCAACCTTGACTGTGGCATCACTTACTAAAACAAGAAATCAAGATCCGCTTTGTATACATATGTATGAGAATCAGCTCTGGCTGAATATCTAAATGTCTGTTGACAAATAGCTACCATGGGAAATTCCCTAGAAAGTCCCATAAAGATCAGTCAGTTATTGTTATTGTTCTATTCAAATGAGTTGCTATATCCATAGCTTCTAACTTGGGTGGAGAATAATAAAACAAACACAGGCATGGGATTAAGAAAGACTGAGGACTACATGAGCTGAGCTTGCCAAGACAGACCTCTACAAGCCTGGTGCAAAAGTGATGACTCCTGCACAGTGTAAAAATGCAACAGCAATTAAATACAAATCCACGTGTAAAAACCACTGTCAGAGACAGAACAGAATTTAGGTGTGCTTCCTTGGGAGAGACTTCCTTTGAAACTGATTGCAGATTTACTGAAGTAATAGAGCAGAAATTTTCCACACTGGGCATTCACTTAAACTTTTCAAGCTTCATATATCAGATCATTTCAAAGGACACAGAAAAAGAAAATAAAGTGTTTTCTTTATACAAAAAAATAACACAATTCATACCAGTTCTCTCTTAAAGTTTCTCCACCTCAGTCTCTGGAAATGGGGCTTCAAGTAGAGGTAGATTTTGTGCCAGGAATTTCCTCTGCTTTCTGCATGGGAAGCTGAACATGTTTGGTAAGATGATCATTTTCTTGGGGGGGAATTAGAGACACTCCTCTGCAGCAGAGGAGCCCCGAGTTGTGCCCAGGCAGGTGGTGAGAGTGAAGCTGGGCAGAAGCAAAGCTGTGCCTGGGAAGTGATGTATGAATTCTTGTGCCTGGCTGGACAGAGGAGCAGAAGCTGTGGGGAAAGGACAGGAACCCTGGAAGAGGGGGGATTTTGTAAAGCACAGCAAAGTGAGAAATGGCTGCTAGGGAGTGAGCTTAGGTTAGGGCTTGGAAGGAGAAGGGCCAGGCAGGGCAGGGTTGGTTTGGAGGGAAGACAGTGACCAGTCTGGGTGGGAGGCTCTAGAAATTAGAAAATTTCTAATTTTCTTATTAGAAACGGCCTGCTGGGAGCAGCTGCCCTTTGCCCCAGCCCAGGTTCAGAACACTGGGGAAAGGAAGCCAGCTGTGCCAAGATAGTGTGGCCTCTCGGTCCTGCTTGCCAAGGGGAGCTGGGTACACTGGTGACAGCCCAGAGCTCCTGTCACTCTGCCCTCAGCTCAGCTTTGCAGCCTTATTGCACCTGGGCCAATATCAAGGTGGGCAGGTGCAACCACAGTTCTCATTCCAAAACCTTTCCATCATCTTTCTTTCCCTTCCTACATCAGTCTGGAGAGCACAATGTGTAACTAGGTGCGGTGGTGAAAGGCTGTTTTAAAATAACTCACAGGGAAGTGCTGTCCATTTATCTTCCTTAAACCCCTATGGGATGAGAGTTAAATCACTTGGACTTTATAGATGGGTTAAACTGGGTTTCCTATGGCCTTCTTTCCTTTGGAGAAACTGCTGCACAGATTTTCACCTAGTGAGTAATCAAACACACCAAATTGTTCCCAGCAAAAACCTTTGCACAGCTCTCCACTATCAGCAGGTTACCTGTTTATACATTTTTACTGAGTGCACAACCTGGTGGGCAGCATGGTCAGCTGCTGTTTGCCATTTAACCAGACAGAGCCATAACTCCTTGAGCTTCAGCCAAAGATTAAAAAACCTGGGTTTTGATCTGTGCAGCCACTGTCCTTCCCAGTGGCCCAGATACCTCCAGAGCCTGTTTGTCCAGCAAACCAATCAATTCTTTCAGAAGAGAAGACAGGCCCAACACCAGCTTTGTGCCCTCTGCCCTGATTCCAATATTAGTGCATTTTGCTGCTATTCATGGCCTTGGCCACTAAACCATTGCTGAGTTGTATAAACAGAAGTTTTGCAGCTGTCAAAAATGCAAATACTTAATGAGGCATTACATGGGAGCAGTACCTAATTTACCTACTTCTGCCACTATATAAAGACAATTAAAATTTGGTTTATGGCTTATTTAAACACCAAAGATGCAAAGTTAGTTTTAACATTTGTTTGCTTTTCGTTTTAGGTATGGATTTCTGTTACTGCTCCTTCATATCCTGATAGCTGGTAAGTTCAAAAAAACTCAGTAAAAATTAAACTGCCCTCCCTTTAATATGTTTGGCCAAATGCACAAAGTAGTTGTAAAATGCACAATATGAACATCTCTGTTTTCTACAAGATGCTGAAGAATTCCTCAGTGGGAAATGTTTCTCTGACAGGCATCAGGGATGCATCACAATCAATTATGGATGCTCTTGCTCAGATTGCTTTGCTTGCTCCCTGTGTACTTATCTCTGTCAACAAAAGGCCTCAGAAGTGGAGTAATAAGAGCTGCTGACAAGCAGATCTAACATCTGTTATTATCTTTTATATAAGCCTGTATACTCAAGAGTAGAATTATACGTCACGGTATTAAGTAGTCAATATTAGTAATTTTACTACTACTTAATTAGTAGAAAATTTACTCCTACTATTAGTAATCTTACTTTTACTATGGTTTTAAAATATCCCTTGCAAAAAAAAGGTAGAATTAAATCACACCACCTGGTGATATTTAAATGGTTTTAGAGTTCTCTCCTCTGTTCTTGCTTAATCACTGAGAAGGACCTCAACAAAGTCACCAAGGAAATTCCCTGGCCTCGATATCAGGACAAACTGTACCAGACCCAGTCTCAATAGATGCTGGCCGGAGTTGCACCCATCTTTCCAGGGCACTCATTTTCCTGCTGTTCCAACGGGTTTCCCAAAATCTGAGCCAAGGAAGCGTGTTGCAATTCAAGCCTGTTGCTTCCAGTGCCACCCTGCAGAGTTTAAGTGCCTGGCAAACATCCTGCCTTTCTCCCTGCAGGCACTGTGTCTGCCTCAGTGGTTTTTTTCCGGCCAGGGTGCCCAGCTCAGATGTGTAGATGATTTCTGAGTCCAGTGCACCCTCACAGATTCCCCGTTAATGTTGACACCTCCCTCCCTCCTCACCACGAGCTATTGCTGCATTTCCAAACCTCCACTCCTGTCACTTCCTTTCCCTCAATCATCCACCCACGTAATCCCTTCTCCCAGCTGTAATCTCTCCCATCCAGCCCCAGGCCTGACCCCCTCTTGCCTGGCACCAACAACCCCCACGCCATCCTGGACTCCTTTAAACTTTTAACAAACATTACTTTAACTTATTGTAGCATTTCAACTTGAAACACGATTAAGTTCTTCATAAAATCACCACAGGACAACACTTAACTTAGAAAATTAACAACCTTACCTTGTAACAAACTAACTAAATTTTACCCTAAGCTGCTGGTCCCGGTCTGGATGCAGCAGGGAGGCTGTGGGCAGAGCTGCCCAGCCCTGGGGGACTCCCTGACCTCTGCTCTCTGCATCAGCTCTCAGCCACCTTGTGCCTTTGCTTGGAGCAGAGCCTGCCTTTCTCATGGCTGGAAAGCAGGAAAAGTGTTCTGAAAGCCAGATGCGTTCCTGACTTTAGCTCAAGTGACCCTAAAGATGTAAATGTCTAATGAATGTGTCACTGGAGGTATCTGGATGTGGTTGTTTGCCAGCTGAATGTATTTGTTGAGAAGGTGTCACTGACAGTAGCAGTAAAATGTGGTTGCTTTGTCATGCTGGCTTTGAGGGATACTGCTTTTACTCCTCAATTTTTTGAGTCTCAAAATAATGGCAGCACTCTTTCTTATCAATGCTTCCATTTCTTGTGATCTAAGTAGAGTTAATTGGCATTTATCTTAATTTTTAAAAAGTGATTATTAATGCATTAGGACTTGAATATGTGTCTGCAGTCAGTGCATAAAGTGAACTGTGGGTATCTATGGGCCTAGGAATGATTCTGACTGGCTCTCAGGGAAAAGGTCCCTTGGGACAATGCACAGACAAATGGACATGGAGAGAATTAGCCACTGGAAATCTGGGAGGTACAAATGATTATAAAGTGAGCACGCTCACCCACCTGCTATAAAATTAATACTGGAGTCTTTATGGGGTATAATGTACTTGAAAATAATGACTTCTTTTCCCCACATAACCTCCCTTTTCTCTCTGTCTCTCTTTTAATCTTGTAGTTATTGCACTAGAGAAGAAGAACATCATCAGTAAACTTGGAGACAACGCCACACTAAGTTGCATTTTTAAGGAAAACAACTTGCAATTAAAAAATCTACGGGTATATTGGCAAATAGCTGATGATTCCTATAAAGAAAAGTGTTCAGTTGTACATGCACTGATGTCTGGCCAAGAGGATAACAGGAATCAGTGTATTCGCTTTAAAGACAGGACTCGATTATTCTGGGATAGATTGGAACACGGTGATTTTTCCCTGCTATTACTAAATGTCAGCCAGCATGATAGAAATACATACAAATGCATAGTACAGAGCACAGTTGAATATTCCAAAGTGATTTACCAGACAGAAGTGGCTCTCAGTTTAGCAGGTAAGAACTTGTGTCACTTTTCCCAAATTCTCATTTCTGCTTTTCAAATTTGTGCTGTTTCAATATTATATTTAAGTACAACTTTAACTTTGAAACAGACTGTTGCCCTTTGCTGAAACGAAGTCTGCTTAATTTAAATGTTACAGACAGGGAATATAAACTTTGGAGAATGCATGTAAAAAGTGTTTACTCAGTGTGTGTTTCTTTTCTTCTTGTTTACCGTGGATATGAGAGCTTTTGCATGTACTGGGTGACAGCAGCTTTAGTTTGTCCTTTCTTCCTTTGGGTTTGGCTTTAGCTTTTTGCCCTCCCAGTGATTCTCTCAGCTCTCTGGTTTACAGACCAAACCTGCAGGCATTTCTCTTTCAAGTCATGAGGGTGGTGTGAAAACCAGCAGTTTGGCTTCAGAATCCATCTCAAAATTTTGCCTTTCCAGTATGTTTCAAAATGTCACCAACTATTTATTTTACTTCTTGCTCTCCAGTGAGTTACAGCCAACCAATACTCAGTGGACCAATAAAAAACAATGACAGCAGTGGAGAGGAGGTAACCTTCAACTGCAGGTCTGGCAATGGATACCCAAAGCCCAACGTCTACTGGATCAATAAAGTGAACAACAGGCACCTGAATGCATCAAAAACAGAGATCATATCCCATGAAAACGGCACTTTCAACGTTTTTAGCACACTGACAGTGAAAGCCACCTCTAACATGCAAATAGAGTGCTCCATAGAAAATGAGATGCTGCAGGAAAATCTGTCAGCCAACTGTAAGTTCCTCCATGCTGCCTCATGTTGTCTAGGTAGCAGGAATATCAACCAGTGTGTCTCTGTCTGTAGATGTGCACTAGCAAGGGCTGTGCATTAATTCAGTACTTCCCAAAAGTGCTGAGAAGATCTCAGACTTTGTTTCAAGCTTTAGTTATGCTTAGCAATGGACTTGATGTTTAATTCCTTCCCACTGAATTACCCACCAAGTGTGTTATGACAGCAAGACTGAGAAGCTCTTGCATCTGAGGTAGTTGCTGAGCTTAACCTTTTAGTTCCTCAGGAATATGATGATTTGGGGAGTCAGGGTTTTTTAGGGGCCACCATACAGCAGATCCATGATTTATGACCCCCTACCCAATGGCCTTGCAACACTCACATTTGCTTTTTATTCTGCCTAGTTCCAAAGTTCTGTTTTCAGTCTCCAAAACTCAATTTAATACAGTGCATGACTTATACTAGGTCTGCAGCAAATGGGCAATATAAGGTCAATAGAACAATGTACCTAATAGCACAAGTATAATGTACTATTTATTGCTGACGTGGTGATTAATAAGAAAAGCAAGTATTTAGTCACTCAACTCTTCACAAAAACAGAAAGCTATTAAAAAAAAAAAAGGTATTAAGAAGTTATAGCTACAGTACCACTGCTGCAGTTCATTATTTCCAAAAAGCTGTGTAGATAATCTATTTGGAGTGGGAAGGCTGATCTGGAGGTGGCTGTTTGATCTCACTGCTGTTCCTGATCCTGCCTCCAGCCACACTTTTCTCTCACACATCTCTGCACCCTGGTGCAAGGAGGCTGGAATGTTTCCATAACTGTAGTCTATACCAGAGCTAATTTACCTGAACACCCCAAACACTGATCCCATGAATGTAGGAAAACTATATAAACTATTTCCAGGAAAGAAATTGAACACATGAGCAGAAGTTGCACAGTAGAGTGTTTATGTGATAATACATCATGCTGTCATCCCAAATTAAAGGAAAACTAGGTAACCTCATCATTAATTTCCTAAAGGCTTTGTCATGTTGTCTTCTGAGGGAAAAGACCTTCATATTACTATTTTTGGGGGTTTTTTAAAGTCTTACAGTTGCACTTGAAAGAGTAAGAGATATGATTTGAAACCTTCAGTTTGCAGCAATGGGTGAAGATTCTTCACTAACTTCAGGGAAACAAGTTTTCACCCATTTTTCTGAATACCATCAGGTTTACATTATAGATTCTGTATAGATTCATTTTCAACTGAGCCTAGATACAACCCCAAACACAGAGTCTCTGAAAGCTGGAGGGAAAGAAGAAAAAGGAAGAAAGAAGGATGGATGCATTATGATGACAGGGAAGACATAATTATTTAGACATATTTAGACATAATTAGTTGGAGATGTTTCTCACTCAGCAGGAATCACCAAAATCAGTGATATGAATAGCACAGATCTTTTATCCTTCAGAATTTTTTAGGCATGTAAAAGATGGTATTTTCCTGGTATGAAATGTGAAAATTTACACCTTATGACATCCTTTTCTGTTTCATTCTAGACACACAGCAGAAGAAAAGCAGTGGTCCAGGCACAAAAAGTGATGAAAACCCAGAAAAAAAAGGACGAGGTGCTCAAGCAGCTGGCATCATTGGCATTGTCTTTGTGATAGGTCTTCTAACTGGTTTAATCTGCTGGCTCTGGAGGAGGAGGTCCTCTAATCTAGTGTCCTATAGAGGTAATGAGACACTTCATTTGCATGACCAAATTATAATAATTCTTTTTCATCTGCCAAAATACCTCCTGTCCTCCAGCAGGAAGAGTTAAAACATGACTAAGCTGCCTGCCCATGGCAGCAGGAAATCATGCCATTATTATAAACTTGGTGTGCCCTGGGGAGGAAATGTAGTGCCCCAGGTTATGTTGTTCTTTTTGGTTTTCTCTTTCTGTGTCCAAGCCTCGCAGGAAGTAATTTCTGGATGTGTGAGTAACTCGGACTTTGTGTCTGTTTGGGCCATGGTTTGTCAGCTCTGATCCCTGCAGGCTCTTCCTGGATAGGTGGCATGAAACAGGACTGGGGTTGGTAGCTCGCTCAGCTTAGCAGAGTTTGAAGCAGAAATCAGAACATAATTCAATCCTGAAAGCTTCAGAGCCACTGGCTGGATGATTAAGGGTCAGGATCCTGCTGGGACCAAGCAGAAATGTGGCTGGTCTCACTGTCACATGTGTACCCTTGTGTAGCTGGATTTTTGCATGACTCTAAAAGAGCTCTAAAAAACATCTTGTGGACCAGACTGGGTCTGCCAATGTGGCTGAGCACTTGCTCTAAGCCCCTTTGCAGCTATCCAGGAGCTAACATCTCTGGGGAGCAGGGATAACACACTTCCATGGACAAGGACAATCCATGTTATTTTGTTAGCAAGCCTGGGTGCCTCAGAAAATACAGGGAAGGGCAGGGTAATGATCTTGTCCAGGATCTGCAGCAGCTCTTGTAAAGTCATGTCCTTCCTTCACAAACAACCCAGGAGTGAGGCAGGACTCTGTCCCAAGACAGGGAGCCAGGCTATCACTTCAATCCAAAAATCTCTCCTTCTGAAATGGTATCCTGGGTTGGAAGCAAATAGAATATTGGACTGCATTTTACAGAACGTTTAGCACATTGAACCCTCAGTCTTGGTGGATGTTGCTTAGTATTAATCTCATTTTTATGAAGACTGTGGTTATCAATCCCACATGCTGAAACCCATGCATTTGTTTCAACAGATGTCCAAACAAGAGAAGACCAAGGAGGACTCAACTGTAAGTATTAAATCATATTGTTTGTCTCTAGTGACTTAACTTCATAGCTTTGGTACCCAAGTTCAGCACAAGCCTTTAGATTAGACTTGCTGGGTGATACAAACTGAAGCATTTTTTTAGGCAGTACATCCTAGATGGTGTTTAATTGGGATACAGGGACATCATTTGCATCATGTCTGTGAACCTGAGCCTGTAGACACCCAATTTAAAAAAACCCTTCCTTTCCTAGAAAAAACATGCTCTTCAGACCTTTACCATGTTCATGTTTTTATAGGCAAGAATGCAACATTGTAGGCCAGCTGGTTTATAAAATCCATTTGTTATTTATAGTGGGGAAAACATGAAAATTGGGTGAAAAAAATGAAGAAAAAATTGGAAAAACAATTGGACAGAGGACTCACAAGAGTACAAGGTGAAATATCTGCCTATCTGATATCTCGTTTGGCAGTTTCTACTGAAGCTAATGACTGTTTCCTGTGTGTCTCTGCAGAGCAGGCAGAAAATACTGTGGTTTCACTAAAACTGTAATAATTAGAGCATAGTTTGCTGTAGCAGATGCTGTGAATGTACCCAATACATAGTATCAAGCACAAGCAAAATAACACTTAAATTAAGAAACTTTTTCTCAATTCTTTGACAGTCATGGAAACTGGGTTAATGGTCAGTTATTTTCCAGACTGCAAGCTGCTCCCCAACATTTGTGTTTGCTAAACAACAACAGGCATTGCACTGTCTCCTGCAGAGCATAATCTGTGGAGGAGGAGGGATTTTTCTCCTTAAAATAAAGAGACTTTTTCTCCTTTTGTTCCTGGGAACTGCATTAATGAACACAAACAGTTCATTTCAGGTCAACTTTTTTTTGCTCTAGACTTACTTCTACCAGGCCATTCTTGCTTAGATCCTTGGACTTAGCCCATTAGTAAAAAAACCTCCAGGATGTAAATGAGAGTAAATATTTATCTTGTATTGAAGGTTGCTGTAGCATGATTTGTTCATTAAGAACAAAGCAAACGCACCTTTCCAGATGCTGTCTTTTCTTTGACATTTCTCAACTCCACTTGTGGAAGAGGAGGTGGCACAGCAGCTTTGGTGTCCCACTGATGACAGAAGTGTCCCATCCCTTGTTTTGGGTATCCCATTTTAAGGGCAACGTGGATCAGCACCAGAGAAATGAAAACGCTCCAGGGAATGTGATCTCTGGTGAGAGATTGGTTATGTCTGTTTAGGCTGGAGAAGGCCAGGCTGATTAAGGACACAATAACAATCCTCTCCAGAGTGTCTTCCAAGAGGATGGGACAAGTTATTTATTGTACTAACACAGCTGACACTGCACTTAAGGCACAACAGATTTAAACAAAGATTTAAGCTAGATGTCAGAAGAAAGTGTCTAAGGGTAATGGTAGTTGAGCACTGAGGCAGAGTTTGTCCAGGCTATCAAGTCTCCATCAGTTCAGGTTTGCTGCTTTGTCTTTTCTTACCAAAAGAGAAAAACAGTATCTGTCAGAAATTATTTAGAAATAAAGCTGATACTACCTTAGTAAAAAAGATGGGCTCTAGGAGAAATTCTAACCTAATTCAATCACTATTTGGTATTTTCAATCCTGCTGTGTGTGGGAGATGGGGATAAGCCTTGGGGAGGTGCAGCCAGGAGGATGCTCTGCAACAGCATTTTGGTTTTCAACACTGCTGTAAATGCACTTCTGCTTCTGACACCCTATAAAGAAGATCAAGTTGTTTCATGGCACTGAGAATCCTGAATACTGCAAACCAAAATGAGATTACTGAAACTAACTTTGCTGTTACAAAGGCAAAAAAAAAGAGTTTGCAAACTGGGAGGAAGGCAGATTGTAAAGAAGAGTAACTCCGTCCTGGTGGAAGTCTCTCCAGACACCCATTCCAGTCAGTGGGGCAGGATGCTCTGGTAATGAGAAATTCAGAGCTGGAGCAATTCTGAACTATTATCTGAAGGAATCCCTTAATTTCCTGAGAGGAACCTGGGGAAGCTGTTTTCTCTTGCCCACAGAGAGGCTTTGTGCATCTCATTCTCTGAAATAGTTCTAAATTAATCCAAGGTGACACTAATACCCCTTCACAAGCAAGGCCACTTTTTCCATTTGCACAGGGAGGCACTTCCAGACTGTGGCATGAGGACAGAAAGCCCCCAGTGTCTTGGGTATCCAGGCAGGATTTCTCCCCAGTCAGCTTTCTCTCAGCAGCATGAATATGTCTTTTCCACAGCTTTGCAGCTTGTTCCTCTGGTTACATAGGAAAAGCAGTGCTGGGAATGATTATTTCTGGGGAAGTTTTTTGTCTATTTTTTTGTAAAAATAAATTATTTTGTTTTTACAGCACCTGTCTAAATGGAAGGTCTACCAACAATTTGGGCAGCTGGAGATGTGTCAAGAGAAACATCACTCCCTCAGTGGCAGCACTGTTTGTAAAGTGACAGATTTCTGCCAAGAGAGACAGAAAAAAAAAAATAAAAAGCTTCTAGAACACAAGAGGAAGGAAAATCTGCTGGATTTTCATTCCAGACACTGACTGTGCCCACAGAACATCGTGTCACCACTCTTGCTCAGCACTTTGGACAGCCCTCTGTGACTGCCAGTGATTTGGGCACCAGTACTGGGGAAAGCAGAAAGCCTGGGACTCAGCTGCACTGTGCCAGACCAGAAAAGCTGGTGACTGTCCAGTCTTCCATCATGAACCTTGAGGACTGTCAGGAGCAGAAGCAGCCACGTTTCAGGAGCATGGGACATTCTTGCTGTCACCTTACCCTGAGGATGACTACTGCATGTGAAGAAAGGCAGCTAAAATGAAGAAAGAAAACTGAAGGACTCTGAAGAGTGAGATTTGTGACCTCTTCCATGTTTCTCTCTCTCTATAACACAATCCTTCCATTGTCTGTTTTCACCAGCTGCTGCTGTTTACAGAACCAGGCAGAACACTTTGACCCAGTCCTTCAGAAACAGGGGTTGCTCTAATGGGGTCAAATACTGAATGTGTTATCATAAGGGAAGGTGCCTTCTTTAAGCCTTTGTAGCAACATTTTGGTTTTTACCAAATATTCCACCAAAAAGGGGATTTCCACTTTCAACAGGAGCCAGCTGTGAGAAAAAAACCAGGCTGTGGAAATCCGACCAATTAAAAATAGAATGTTATGCTATGTAAATGTCAGGTTACCTGGACTTACCCTTCTCAGGATGGAACAAAAACTGTGGTTGAGCTCTGCTTGATTCAACTGAAGCTTTAATTAAGCACTTTCATGGCTTCCAGGGACGATTTTAAACTGAAGGTTTTAAACTTGTGAACTTGTGCCTGTGTCTTATCCTTACACGCACCCCACAAAACAAAAAAGAACATGCAAATTCTATCAGTGTCTTGTCCATGAATGTCCAGAAAGCCAAGAACAGCATTTTCCTTGTGCCAGTGCATGTGCCTTGCTATTTAGCCCCAAGCTAGCCAAACTGACTGGCTGAAAATAGCAAAAGAGTAAACTCTGCTGATGATACAAAATTTTGAAGGAGGAGGAATTTTTACGAGCTCCCTTGCCCAGATGGGACAGTTTTCCCATTCATCATGGGGGGACGGATATTAGTATTTTTAACTGAGCTCTGGAAACACTTGACCTCTTCTACACCAGTTGCTAGACTAAACTGTATGATTTTTGTGAATAAGTCATAGTCTTGTTTGTTCTTGCTCTGTGTGTGAGAAGCACTCCAGTATCAACTCTGAGCTCAGACACTGACTTTTCATATCAAGATCAGCTTTCAATTCCCAGCCACGTGAAAATCCTGTTGTACTCACATCACGTGGAACCAGGACCATTTGGCAATAGTGCAGCAGCTATCTTTTGTCAAAGCAATACCCCCAGGGAGACTCCCAGCTTCTCTCATGTTCATGAATCCAGATATTAGATATTTTCTGAGTCCAAGTGTAGTCTTCAGTGTACCCTAAAGGGAACTTGCTTGAGGAAAGTTTGCAGACACCTCAAAAAATGTGAACAATCTCTGTGCAGATGTGCAGGGTGAACACTTCCTAGTGGTTCAGTAAAAAGTCCTGCAGCCATTTGCCCCTTATCTGTCACATGAAGTAGTTTTGTGCAGTCTCTGGTGCTGCTGTACCTGACAGAAGTCTTTCCTACAAGTAGTTTTCCACTTTTATATTCTGCAACCGTGATGGTTCAGAGATGTAAGAAGTGACCTAGCTGTCACTCCACGATATGGTATTAAAACAAATTTATACTGGTTGAATTTTCTTACTTCTGGGCTACTTCATGGAGACACCTAAATACAGAAGCCTTTTCTTGCAAAATCTGTGCTTTCATTTAGCTTAGGGTTCCAGCTATTCAGGGTTCCAGCTATTCCTGGAGGTCATTAAATCCTAGATGACACTTGGTTGTTACCATTCAAAGGACTGGTAATTTCATAGTACCAGTTTTTATCTTCACATGCCATGTTTATATTTTAAATAAAATCTATTAATTCTTCTTTATGTTTGACTAAATCTGTCAGCACACAGAGACAAGCCAATCCAAGCCATTGCCCCTACTCAAAGTGGCAGTTTTACTTTTTAGCCACATCCCTCAGTGCTCCTTTTCAAAGCCCTCACATGAGGGGAGACAAACACAACACAGAGCTGCCCATCTTTGCTTTATTTTGGCTCACACAACAAAATGCCTCGAAGAACACAACAAACTCCACAAAAGCCAGGCAGTAGCCTGAAGGCAGCACTAAGCCTGGGCTGATTCATCCATTTCTCACCCAACTTTACAACCTCGAGCAGAGCAAAGGTACAGCACAGGCTCCTGCTTCCAGAACTGAAACCAGCTCATTGCACCCCCCAGACCCGTCTTGCACAGGAGCACCAGCATCTCTCTGTTTGCCTTCATGAAAGACAGCAGCTCACTTAAACACATGCACAGGAAAGCAACAGTTGCTGCAGCTTTGGAGGAAGACTAATAAATGGACTCACTTTCACAGAAAAGCGAAAGACTTGTGTTGTGGCATGGCTGGTAAACCACAAATGGAAAGCCCCAAGGGAAAACATATGTTGCACTTAGTGATCTGGATCCATCTGTCCTGTTGTCAAATTCACTGTTTCAATATTTTTACCTGTGAGAGCTGAAATATCTCTTTTGCTCAAAAGAGCATTCCTTTTTTCCAGCTACCCTGACTCCAGTGTCTGTTCTCGGTAGCCGTTGTGCTATGTCAGAGAAAATTTATTTGTTGCTTTCCCAACTTGCAAAGTAAATCTTTCTCATATTTGACATATTCTCTCATATTTGTAGCAAACATGCACAAAAGGTCACGTTATCCCCAAGTGTAATTTCTCCAACCTTTCTCTTTTCCAGAGGAAGAGAAACTACTCTAAAGAGCAATTGAGTACAGCTTAATTCCACAGGGAGAAAATACCCCCACCCCCATGGCTGTTAGGCTCTTGGGACTTTTCCTCTCAATGTATGGTGGGCATATATGGAGGCTCAGAGAGACTGTGGAGATCTTCCCTGGAGATGTTCAAAAGCTGTCTGGACACAATCTTGAGGGATGTGTCCCAGGGGACTCTGTGTGAGCAGGGAGGTTGGACTGGATGACCAATGGTGGTCCCACCCCAATTTACCCATTCTGTGTTTATAGAAGGCACCCCACATGTTCTTTGAGGTGATCTCCATCAATTCTATTTCCCTCCTGGCATCCCAGGGAATTACAGAGCAGTAGCTTCTATGTCACTCATCTTTCAGGACGCACTTTTGTGACAACAGGTCAGTTTGTACAATTACCTTCCAACACAGGAAAAAATGCTTCCAGCATTTCCTGTGCTATCAGCACTTAGCATAATTACTGTGTGTGAACCATGCTCCCTGCTCTCTGCTGTCAAATGCAAGTCCTCGGCAGTTGTAGTTAATCACAAACTCTTTGTTTGCATTTTGTTAGGAAAGAGCCTGTCTCCCATTTCAGTCTGGCACAGAAAAGGGCTTGTCTCCTATTTCAGTCTGCTGCGTAGGGATAGATGCTCATATATCAAGGATGCTTATGCTGACCTTTGAACTTGTGCAAAATAGGTCCCAACAATTTACCAATAAGTTACTTATTTGTTCTTTTGTAATTCCAAGAAGTGCTGCTTAGGGACGATTGTATAATTGACAAACTTGGATACACAGTCGTGCTCAGAGTCACACGAGGCTGCCTGTAGCTCACCTGGTGCTTACACTCATATCTCCAGCTTGCAGAAACCTTTTCCCACTTGCTGGACTGGAAAGTCTACTTTTGTGCAGCATTCATCCCAGGAGACGTCATAAATCAACAGAAACTGTTTCCTAATTTTGAATGGGATTACACTGCACAGAAAAATAAGAAAGACCACCCCTAAAAAAATTTAGAAGGAGGAAAAAGATAAGATACCTCTCATTCAAACTGGAAATCTTTTAAGAATCTGTCAGTAAGAAGCAACAGTAACACAGCCATAATGTGGACAGGGAGTGACTGCCAATGTTTTCTTCTTCATTTCTTCTGCCAGATCTTAGCTGTCACATGTCATCTCTTACAGGGCTGAGACTGCACTTTCGAAACAATATCAGATTTGCTTGCAAATACAACGTTTCCACAGCATCATGCTGGACTAGAAGCAACTCTACACCTCTCGATCCATCTCTCCATCAGTCAGACTTCCCATTATTGTATTACCTAACTTCTAAAATGCATCACCACTGCAGTTAGCACAGTTACCATAACTAAAAATAGGTCAAGTAATAAAGGTCCAAAATGCCTGACTGTAGCTAGTTTTAGAAAAGTAGGCAAACATGATATATGTTTTATTACCTTATTGGAAATCTTTTTAACCAGCTCAGATTAGCGTGATTAAACTCTGTGTCAGCAAAGTACTACAAGTGCCATCATAAACCTGGTCTTTCAAAGCCTTTGCTTTGTTTTCCCTGCCCTCATGACTGAAGTCTGGCTGTGCTCCTATTTCTATCTGGCTGTATCTGCAGCACAGAGGGCTGCTATCTTATTCAATTTACGTTGTTGAATTCTCTTATCAAAACCATGAGAAAAATCCAGCCCTGTGTTGGTTCCTGACCTACTGAACAAGGCAGGAGGGCTGGCCAGATAATGACCATGCTTTCCAGGAGAATTCATTGACTGATTCTACACAGGGTGAGGCAGAGGGACACCACCACAGGAAGGTCTCCTGCACTCCTGGCATCAGCTGACACAGAGAGCACACCCAGAAACTGAAGGACTGGAGAAGCTGAGGAAGTGGCTTTGGAGACAGGGAAGTCTCCAGGAATCCCTGATAGAGTGAGCCTCGGTGCCAGGTTTCTTCTCAGCAAGATCTCATTAAGAGTCCTGGGCACACCCCAGTGCTGAGGGGTAAGTGCCTTTGAGTAGGAAAAATTAAAAGAATACATAATTAAGCACATAAATAAATAAATAAATAACCCTCAAACTTTGCGCAACTGTTCTGTTTAACTTCAGATTATCTGTTTATTATTTGAAGTTGCATTTTTCCTGACTAACATGAGGCAGACAGCTGCCTGCCCATGCTGTTTTGTATGGGACAGTTTGATCCAGCTGAGAGGAGGAAGAAGAAAGAAAGAGGGGAAAAGAAATAAAATCTTTTAATCTGCTCCAGCCTAGTCACAATTCACCAGTCCTTAGGAGATGAAGATTTGTGGGGGAACTAGATTGGTTTTTAATTTATTTTATTTAAAGTATTTAAAGTATTAAAGTAGCCCTTAAAGAAGAGCTCCCATTAACAAACATATTCTCTGGCCAGCTGGAATGATTAACCACAAAATCATCAGGCATGCACAGAGTGAGCCAGTGCCTTTCATCAAAATTTTCGGCTATGTGGCAACTGGTGACCAGCGTCATAATTCTTAGCTTCTTAGCTTCATTTTTGAGCAATTCCTACTGCATCACAACATAATCTGCGTAGGAAATTATTTCTAAACAAAGTCAAACAATAGTTCCTCAGGAACAGAAAACTTGGCCAAAGGAATCCACCAGATTCTGTGGCTACATTTATTGCATCAATAAACCTTTGAGTCTTGGGAAAAAGAAGTAAATAATACTATTGTCAAATACCTCCACTATTTTATACCGTACCAGTTTTTGCATTAAAACTAGTTTTAGTGTTCCCAAGTCACGGGTACTTAGACTTGAGCACCCCACAGCCAGAGGCATCCCAGGTACCAGAGGTATGCCCCTGCCTACATATATTTCAGAAGATTTGGGGTGTGGTTGAAGGGCAGGAAAGGAAAGGAATTGTTTGGTTTAATCTCCAGGCAATGCTGCTGCAAACAGCAAGGAGGGAAGCACTGAACTTTTGCACCTAGGCAGAAGCCAGGTGAATGGCTGGCAATGGACCCTAAACCCCTCCTACACAGGCCTGGCCCTACAGCCCTGCCATTTTGCTTATCTCTCAGTACACATCTTACAAAGCAAGCTGTAATCTAAATCTCTACACTCCCAGGTGATGGGATAGAGCACCCAGCCTGGCAATAAACATTTGAATAACATGTCTCTGATATATCCTATCTCAGCTGGAAGCTCCATGCAAGCAGTCAGCAGTTGCAGAGGTGAGCACAAAGCAGCTGCATGCTTTGTATTTGAGCAGAGATAAAGTGCAGTTTAACAGCGTGCCAAATGCTGATCAAATTTTGCAAGGACATAAGCAAGTAAGCACATGGCTCACACAACGTCCTTGTCTGAGTGGCAGGACTGTCACAGACTAGATGCAAACACAGCTGCTTTTATTCAGATTGTTTATTTTTCAGGGAGGGAAGATTAATATCCTTTTGTTCTCCCCCACACCAAAGCTTGTGTTCCTGTTCACTGCCAAGACAGCACAGACTATTTTTTGCCCTCTTGAGGTGTTGCTCCACACAGGTTGGCAGAACAGCAGCAACTTAATTACACAATGATTAGAGCCTACCTGAATTTTCACATTAGGAAAGATTGTGCTTTCCCTCACGAAATTTAGAAATAAATATTGATTTTTAGCCAAGGTGAGGTCCAAGATCTGAAGAGTTGCTGCTATACACTTCTCCCATCACAAAGTCCCTGCGGGTCACAGCCACAGGGAAGGTTTTGCCTTAAGGGCCTTTGGACACTCACAGCACAGCAGGTGTTGCTGAACTAAACAATTTCCCCACTATTAGAACAACTTCTGATAGGCCAGGGGTAAAGGACTGCAGATAACAACTGCAGAATGGGCACTTTAATTTCTGCTAACATTTATTTTAACACATAACCCTTCAGAGACAAAAAAACCCTCCACAAAATATAGCAAGAGTGGCTGGATCTGCAGTCATGTTCAGAAATGAATGCATTAGGCTTGACAAAACTCACACAGGTTAGCACAGAGCATAGCTGGTCAGAGCATGAACCAAGCTGCAGGATTTTTTTGCTCTTAGATCTCATGGTATTCCTGCCATGGAAGAGCCTCTCCTATAATTATCCTTAGCCTGAGCATTGCATCACTGAAGG